CCTTCTCCTGAAATCTAGGGGGAAGCCCTCCTGACCCCACAACTCTTGCATTCTGCATGCACCTAAAGCAAGCACCACACGGATGATGCCAAGGCCTGCTGCTAGCTGGAGCAGTAGCCAGGTTTCCCTTTCTCTTGGCTGTAGGGATCAAGTGCCTGGATTGCTGACCACTCTGAATCCAATTCCAAGGAACAAATTCTCTACTAAAGAGAGCTTTCCAGTCCTCATTGTGGCCCAGGAAGTTTATATTTGTAATCCCATGGAAAAGTGATTGGTGCTGGGTGTGGTGGCACAAACCTGTAATCCCAGCACTTGGGAGGCTGAGGCATGGGGATCATTGTGAGTTCAAGGCCAACCTGGGCTACAAAGTGAGCTCAAGACCAGCTTGAATTGCATAGGGAGACCCTGTCTCAAAAAGAAAAAAAAAAGTTATTGGAATCCTATCAAGTTAATTCCAATCTATCACTTCCAGTGCGACCCATGGTGAGAATAACATCACTAAGGCATATTTGTAGTTATGGGGAGTCAAGGAGCCCTAAGTCCAGCTAATAAGATGGTTAACCAGAACAAAGGCCTCAGTCCAGGTCTGAACTCTGGTCTTTATTGATTCATGAAGAAGGGAGTGGCTTGAGGATGAGTGCCTGTGAGAATGGTGGGACGTACATGAACACTGTGAGCTGGGCTAGGCAGGAGGCCTGAAATCACCCCTGCAAATGCAGAGAGAAGGATGTGCAGAAGGAGTAACCTGCATAACACAGCTGAGGTAGTATCTGATGTTGTGAGGTTGGTGCTTCAGCTCTGATGTGTAACCTTTTATGCCCTGGGAAGTCATAGCCTCTTATCCTGAGGCTTGATCCCGGCTGACAGTGTGGAGCGTGGCTCTCCCTCCAGCCTCGCTCACACATGCTTCTTGGGAGCTACCAAGCAGGATAACACTGCCCTTGCTTTAAAGACTACACATCAGCACCTCAGCTGGACGGATTTGCATTGCTTAAAGCCACTTGAAGGGATAAGGAAGAGTCCTAGCCAGCTCTGTATATATCAATACATGGAAATAGGGCCAGGTTTAGCCAAAAGGGAGCTAATTGCTCTTCTTTCAAGAAGAGTCATCAGATGGTCCTCCACACTCTAGGCTGTCGTCATTCTGGAACATGGTGCTCTGGAGCTTTCTTCTCAAGCCAAAATCTTTCACTTTTGCAATTCTGAGGCTGCAAAGGGTGGAGTCCTGCTGCTTCTTGTGATACCCTCAGCCCATCTTTCCTATTCTCTTGTTCCTTCTCACCAATCAAGATCTCTTCTGTTCTATCTTGGTAGTCCACAGCTTTACTGGAGTAAAGTTTCTGACCAAACTCAAGACTTTTTAAATCAATTCTTCTAGGCTCCTTTCTCTTGATTCTCAATATAAATCTGGCTAAAGCACCCAACAGCACCATACCACCACCTCAACATTAGACTGCCTTGACATTTCTTCTGCCAGATTAATTAGTCCACTCCCCTTAATGTCAGTCTCAGGGAGAGTCTCTGGACACAAGCAAAATGCAGACAAACTTTCTGCCAAGCTATAACACATATTGTCTGGAGTCCAGCCACCAATGCAGTCCTAATTCCCGGCAAAAACCCTTCATGTCTGCCCTCTACCAGCAAGATTTCTATCAACCTTTTGGTGTTTTGAGCTCTAACCAGAATTTCCCATTCAGAACAGCCTAAGGTATTCCAGCTCTACTTTTTCAGCTGGCATCTCTGAATCATTCCAAACTCTCCCAACAAGCCACTCTCAAAGGCTCTTAAACCACATGGTCAGGTAAAGTCACAGCAATGACCCCACTCCCTGTACCAAATTCTATCTTAGTTGCTTTTCCTCACTGCTGAGCCAAAATGCTCAACACCAAAAGTTAAAGGAGGAAAGGTTTATTTAGCTTGCAGTTTGTAGAGGTTTCAGTTCATAATTGGCTGGCTCCAAGGCAGGGTAGCACACGGCAGAGGGCAATAGTTTATGGTACTGAAAGAAAGCAAAAGCAACAAGAGAGGAAATTCCTACAAAAGACTGTTTTTAAAGCCACATAGGAAGGGAAATGGTTAGAGCCCCTTCTAAGCACTACATATGCATGTATCTGTCCCTTGGGCTGATAAAAATGGGGGACCTAGGCCAGAATGTTCCTAGAAGATGCTTTAAAGTATAACCTTGGTTAGGTACATGTGTGCAGTTTGCTACTATACGTGTAGTGGAAATTCAAATTCTTGTCGGAAGCCGGGCATGGTGGCGCACGCCTGTAACCTATTACTCAGGAGGCCGAGGCAGGAGGATCATTGTGAGTTCGAGACCAGCCTGGGCTACAAAGTGAGCTCAAGGCCAGCCTGAACTGCATAGTGAAACCCTGTCTAAAAAAGACAAAAAAAAAAAAATTCTTGTTGGAAATACCTCGTCTTTCTAGATGTTTAAAGTTCACACATGATAGTCAAGGGCGAAAGCAATGCCCTTTAAGTATTTTTTGTTACTTCACAGGAATGGTTGCATCCTGCAGACGGAATTGTCATGCTTGATGCCCGGGAAAGTTCTGACTGCTCACGGGGCGGGCAGGGTGTGCGGACAGAGGAGTGCGCTGTGCCTGCTAAGTAAATTCAGATTTTTTAAAAAACAAGGCCTTGCTGTGTATCGTAGGCTGGCCTCAGATTCAGCGATTCTCCTGTCTCAGCCTCCCAAGTGTGAGAATCACAGATGTGTGCTACTTTGCCTAGCAAGTGAGTTCAGCTGGTCTAGCCCAGTGGTGGGGAACCTCTGGCACACCTGTTGTTTTTCTTTTAAGACAAAAGATGTTCATGTGTGAGTTGCTTTTTCTAAATTAAAACCTCCACATTCAGGTTTAATTGCAGTGTTGGCACTTAGTGGTAAATAAGTGGGTTTGGGGTTGCAATTTGGGCGCTCGGTCTCTAAAGTGTTCGCCATCCCTGGTCCAGCCATTGCGCTATCTGTGCAGTTCAGCTGCTATTGCTGGGTGTTACAGGATAAGTCCTGATGCCCAAACTATAGTAGAAATAGAAATAACCTAGAAATATAATTCCAGTCAAATTAAATGAGGAAGAACTCCCTGCCCTACACAGACTTTGAGGCCAGTCTGAACTGCACAGACACCAACCCTGGCTCAAAGAAAAAAAAAATTAAATAAGGAATTAAAACAAAATTTGTATAACTTTTCCAGTTATTGGTAAAAGCCAGCCAATACCAGCAAATATCCAGCAAAATGTGCAAAAGGATCTACATGATGAAAAAGGTGAAATAAAACGGTAAAAGAATAAAAAGGGATGCTTCTATCACCTTTGGTGGAGAGACGGTTTTAAGGATGAAAGGAACATGAAAACAGGAATAGATCTGATGTAACAGTGTACACTGTCAGTATATAAAAAAATCCCACAAAACATCACAACATACTGTCAAGCTGAAGAAGGTTCCGGACCTGCAGATGAGGGTTACAGGAGCGTTAGTGTCTTTAACACACAGAGTTTAAGTCAGAGATAAAACAAAAAACCCGAAAATAAATACCTGAAAGTTAAGGACAAAAGAAAATGGAAGACAGCCGGGCGTGGTGGCGCACGCCTGTAATCCCAGCACTCGGGAGGCTGAGGCAGGAGAATCATTGCGAGTTTGAGACCAGCCTGGGCTGCAAAGTGAGCTCAAGACCATCCTCAACTGCACAGCCAGACCCTGTCTCAAAAGGACAAAAACAGAAGAAAAAGGAAGAGCGAAGAGATCTTTGCAGGGGATTTAGATTCCAACCCCATGGTTGGAATCAGCACCATTTCGGGTCTCATTTTGTAATTCGAACACTAGACTGTGGAAACGTGTAAAACCTATGCAGAGGAGTAAAGCTGGACTTTCTAAAGCTGAACTTTGCACAGTGTCTGCTGCCCCCGCGGGTGGGTTACTGCAGGGCTTGAGCCCCCCGGGCCTGCACGGCTCTGAGCCTGCAGCTCGAGCCCACAGCCTGGGGGGCAGCTAGGACCCCACGGTTTCCCTTTGCGCCCAGGAGATGGGGGCGTTTGGCCATTTTTGGGGGTGGCAGTGCCACCACGCCTCTGCCTGTCGAAGCCGACTTCCCGGGTTTTCTTCACTCCTGCTCTCACGGTCGCTGTGCCTCAGTCCCGAGCCTCAGTTTCCCTAGCGCCTGCCCCTTCTGACCCAGGGTCCCGAGCTGCACCTAGGGGTGCTCTCTCCCAGGCCTCCCGGTCACCTGCCTTGAGCCCCCGGGGGTTTGCCAATGTCCCGTGAGGAGGGTTCGTCAGGGCCCCTCCTCTGGCTGCCCAATGAGCCCTGCTGGACTCGACTCGGTCACCAGCCTTGCACAAGTGGGGAGCTCAGCGCCCCGGGATCTCCCCGTAATGATTGTGACCACAGCTCACGCCCACACGTTCCCACATGCCATACCCTACCCCCACCCCGCCGGCTCCCCTCTGCCCATTCTACCCCTCCCCTCCTCACTTTTTTTGGAGACAAAGTGTCACTGGCCTTGAATTCACTCTGTAGCCAGGCTGGCTTCAAACTCACAGTGAT